GTCCCGCCCTCGGCCCCTCCTCCGCCCGCCCCGAGCCGCTGCGGGGACCTCGGAGAGGTTGGGCGCGCGCTCTCGCCGGAGCACGTCCCCGTCTGTTCCCACCGGGGCTCCTAGAGGGGTGCGGATGGGGACAGCGAACCCCTGGTTTAGAACTATTGGCAGAACGTGTCCTCTCCCCCACAGAACGATCCCCGCAGCCTCCAGACTGCGCCCACGTGTGCGCGGGGTTGTCGCCCAAGCGCGCGCTCTCCAGCCCGGGCGTGCGGGGCATGCGGGGCATCCAGGGAGAGAGAGGGTCTAGGCGGCCGGAGACTGGACGGTGTTTGTCCCCAGGAGCTTCCTGGCCGCGCGCTGCGGCGGCCCCCTTGGTAGAGCCGCGCGCGCATGACTGTGGCCACGCGAGGAAGACGCAGTGCTGGAGCTGGCTCCAGGAGAGCAGTGGCTTTGGGAGAGGGGAGAAGGGCATTCTGGGCTGCTAATAGAACACTTGACTATACCTTGGAGAGGACTAGCAGGTGGCAGGCCCCGGAGCCCCCCAGTGATGAGGTGAGCAGCGGGCAGCGAGGCAGATGTGTTCTTAAAGGACAGTTAACATCTTAAGTGTCCGCTTCCAGCGTGGCTTCAGAGTTCCCAGCACTCCTGGAATGCCCCCTCACGGTCTGTCTACTCCAGTTAATCTACTCCAGTAAAACTCCACGAAGGCTGGAAGCACCCTTAAGGCCCATCAACACGGTACCTGAACAGGGCGGGTGTTCAGTTACTACTTATGAAGGAATGACAAGTGATAGGAGACTTGAAAAACAAACTGTCAGAGACGGGAAAGTGGCGCTGCGCTTTTTCTTTTGAGGCATGGAAAGTTACCGAGTAGTGTATTTACCGAAAGAGGATGGGGCCGAAGACCAGCTTCCAGGCCAATGTCTGCAGTCCTAGTGAACTTCCAGTTCTCCCGCACTGCTCTGTTCTTGCTTCCAGGAATCTGCGCTTGCTCCCTCCTCCCCATTTCTCCTTCATCAGGTTCCTGGTTCAAATCCTTCAACTTTTCAGCTTGGGCATTGCTAAGCGAGAAACACTCAGGCATCCCTAAATGAATCATATAGCCTACAGTGTTCCCTCCCTTTTCTTGCATTTACTACTGTGCTGTAGAACGGTTTGTTCATTTGCAAAATGCCCTCATTAAGATGTAAGTTCCTTGAAGCTGGTCTTGTCCAGTTTACCATGGCATACACCTGGCACACAAAATACAAATGTAATTAATGAATAAACAGATTGCAGAAGTATGAAATAGAATCCACAAAACTTAGTGGCCAATTGGATGTGAAGGAGCTGGAAGGAGGAACTTGGGAGACTTCCAGGTTTTCTGGCGTGGAGGAATTGGGTGAGTGATAGCTCCATCTCCCAGAATAAGGACTATAGAAAGGAGGGAGAAGTTGCCTGAAGATGGCCAAACAATGGCCTGTGTCCAGAGTAAAATCGTGTAGAAGCTGGAACTGGAATCAAGATTCCTCTCCAGGTGTGATTTATCAGATGAGAAGAGTAGATGGTGGTGTTCCTCATAAGTGGCAAGGGTGGCTCTGAAGGGGTGGTAATTGCCAGCTGTGTGTAAACCATAACATGTATTGACCTTTATTTATTTATGCCCACGAATGGAGAGTTCTTCTCCAGGTTCTAACCTTTCAGAGGCAGGACTTTAGATGCTTTCTTTTGCTTCTTCCCATTTCCAACCCTTCTTATGTCATTGAACAACATCTTCTTCCCTGTCCTCCTAAAGAGCCCAAGAACGCAAAAGCCTTCAGGAACCTAAAGCTATAAAGCCTGCAGATGGCAGCTCGCTTGCAGCCCTCCTTCACATTAAGACCACTAGAGAGGGTTCCATCTCTAACGCAGGTGGGCCATCCCCTTTCCTCTTAGGTGTAAAAGTTAAGAACATGGTGAGCTCTGGAGTCCACCCTCTGGGACCCTCTCCCATGCTTGTCATTTCCTAGTTTGTGACCTTTGGCAAGTGGTTAGTCTCTCCATAATGCACTTTGCTTATGTTTAAAATAAAAATAATATGGCTCCTATTGTATAGGACTATTTTAGGAGTAAAGTCGATTCAGTATACAGGGCTTTGTGTACTGCCTGCCATATAATAAGTGCTGGGGAAATGTTTTTCTTAACATTAGGCATTTCTTCTTGTCCTTCATTTATTCAACAAATACTTATTGGGCCTCCTGAATGCTGGGTGTTAGAAACACAAATAAAATACATACATTATTCCTGGCCTCCCAGGGGACCCATTTCAGGAGAGCAGAGCAGCATTCAAACAAGTCCAAACCTTATGCGTACTCTGATAGAGCTGGTGTGGAAGAGAAACACTAGTGCTTACTTCTCCCTGGGAGGAAGGAGTGTGTCTTAAAAAGTTCCAGAGAAAAAAGGTGCTCTTGAACTGAAAAGTTTAAGGTGTTTCCTTATTTTACAGTTTTTGCAGGAGATTGGGGGATTAAGAGAGCCATCAAATCTCTTACAAGTCTTGATTTCTCATTATAGGTCACCTAGTGGGTCACTGACCCTTCTCTTAGCTATAGCAATGTACGTGCAGTGGCAGACCCAGAGGGTTGGGTTCCCAGTCTGGTCCCTGTTGGCAGAGTCCCAATTTTGTTCAGGGATTTCTCTGCCACGTTCTCAGAATAGACCTTCCACCAGGGCTCAGGCTGAGGTGAAACTTGCGGTGGATACAGTAGCATTCACTTGAGTATACATCCGGAACCGCTGGGTTACTTTTCAAACATACTGTTGTCAGGCGTTGAATTTTGTTGCCAACCTCCCATGTGATTCCAATGTAACAAGTAGGGCTGAGAACGGCAGGTCTGAACCAATCACGGCAGTCTCCTACTTCTCGCTGTGATAGGCTTAGGCATAGGCATGTGATACTCTCCTGGCCTATGAGAAATTCTCATGGTGAGGGAACATGGAGAGCGGAGAATATTTTTGGAAATGATTTACCCCTCCTTCCCTAAAAAGAAATAGATGTGGCATGGTCTCCTCTTCGTCACTGGGCATTATAGTCTGCATCAGAACGTAGGTCAGTGCTGCAGCCATCGTGGCACCACGGAGCTGGCCGTCATCACAGAAAGACCAAAGTTAGCGCTGGCTCACCTGTCACTGAATTAACTAACCCTGCGGCCCTAGCCCCAGGCTTCTTGTGCTGTTGTGCTGTAGCATAACAAACCCCTGTGCAGCAAAAGCATCCTGATCACGCCCCTGCTGCAGTTGCAGTTAAATTATTGGCGACTGGCATGATGTATATTGCTTATGATAATATTGTTGAGATGGACCTCCAACGGTAAGACTGCATTTTTCTGTGGACACGTAGACATAATTGATGGTGCATTTGAAATAGTATTTCACATATATTCAAGATTAAATAGGCTTTAGGAACAAAGGGTAAGCTTAATTACCATTTATGATATGGTTTCAATTGGAATATCTATTTTATGTTTGAAACAGTTTAAATGAATTTCTGTAACAATGCATTTATAAAATTAAGAACAATCCATGACCTTACAACTTTGATCTTACAACTAGATGACCTTACAATTAGATACTTCTCTTTTTTTTAGTTGGAGTCTCACTCTGAAGCCCAAACTGGAGTGCAGTGTGTCGATCACGGATCACTGCAGCCTGCATCTTCTGGGCTCAAGCAATT